ATATATATATATATATATATATATATATATATATATTAATGTATGATTTTTGCCTTTACGTAGTTGCCAACTGGAAAGTTTTAAACTTTCTAATTATTAAAAAAAGAATAGAATTTTATGACACATCAATGATGGATTGATTGTCCAGTCAATACAGAAATGAGAACTTATGAAAGGTTCCTCGGTCCAAACAGAATGTTTTATGACCTGCAGTAGGGGAACACATGCAATATATATGTATATTGCATATATATGTATAAATAGAATAAAAGGCTTGTTGCATATCAGAAATAGACATCAAGAGGTTAAAATGTTTCAATTTCATGAATGATAAGTTTTATCCTAAACAAAAACAAACCAAAAATGAATTTACAAACAGCACAACAGTACAGCAAATACAAAGATACAAAATCCTCAAAGAAAACTCCAAATAAATCAGCTTTAAAATATTATTAAAATGTATTACAATTAAAATCAACTTATCATCTTTTAAATAAACAAATCACAGCTACCTGAGCGCTTTACAAGACAAACCTTTTCTTTATCGGAATTACATGATTAGTTCAATCTAGATTATTACATCATATCAAGTCTGCAGTTATTTTAGCCTGAATCTAAAAACACCCAGATGGGATTGAAGTTTCTTTCAGTCATATAAAAAAATAGGTCTTTTTCTGTCTTTTCAATAAACATCTTGTTTTCCATAATGTTCTTAGGGTAAAAACAAAACCCAAGAGAAGGAAAATAATGGCTCTTCAACTAAGATGAGGAGTTTGCTCGCTGGGAAAGTAACAGAGGTGCAGATCTGAAAGGAAAATATAGAGCAGGAAGAGGAGCATGTTCAGGTAAAAGAAAAAGAAAAGGTCTAAGCTTGTGTGGTGGTAGGGATGAATAAACACATGATCAGATGTCTATAGGCGGATCAGAGCCAGAGATTAGAAGGGATGGCTTCTACACTCAAAGCAGCTTTTTCCTTGTGCATTATTTAAGAGGAGCATCAGATGTTATGCTAATGAAACAGCCTTATTAGATTGCACCAATTAGTCAACATTACCGAAGTGTGCATTTTCTATTTTCTTGTTTCTTTGTCACATTGTTGTTCTCTGTCATAAGGTCTTTGAATGCCCCTGTTTTAGTATGTAACTAATGTTGCAGTAAAGGAAATAAAAATGTTATGCAAATTCCTAGAGGTGCACAACTCACTGTTTATAACGTTTCTAGACATCTATGAAACACAACAAAACATCCTGCAGTATCAGTCTATGTACTTAGCTTGGCTGTACGTATGTTGTAATTAAAATCTTAGCTTGACCAGAATTTTCTTTTTAATCAGATTTGCTGGGTGTTAATAAAATGTGTGGTGTGTTTTGAAAGGAATGGTGAGTATTTAACTAACGATAGTATTGGAAAGACAATTTACACATTAGTAAACTGCAAGGAGCCCCACTGTATGAAGATTTTAGAAAATATATTTAAACAAAAATTAGGACAAATACTCATCAGAACCACCCCCCCAAAGAAAGAGAAAAAAGGGGCTAAAATAAGTTATACTGATCATAACTCATACAGTGGATCTATGCTGACATCTAGTGGCCGTTCTATGTCATTACAGTTTTTATCTTAAAAAATTGTTCTGCATTCAGTTTTACTTTCAGGCAATCCTTTAAGTGAATAAAAATCAACAGTTTGTATTTTTTTCTTTTTTTGCAGAATCATATTTTTTTATTGCAATTTTTTTATTTGTATTTTTATTTTGCGTCATATACGTACAGTTAGAATAACGTCGCCTAAGTATGTTGCTCTTTGTAAACAGCTATAATACTCCGCAAACGATTTCTTAATCGATTTAACTCTCTAATGGATCATGACATATAATAAATGCATGAGGTATTTCAGTAAACAGGCATGGCGTTAAAGTGTTTTTCAGTAGCCAATGGGAAAAGCATCAGCCTCAGAGGCATGCGCTTTATGTAAGCAGCGCTTGTGTGGGAGGAGTCCCAGCATTGCAGCTCCAACAGCGGCTGGAGCTCACAGACTGAACAACCTCTCAACTATCAGACGGTGCAGGAAAGGTAACGCTATAGAGCAAATATATAAAACACGTTAGTATTATTAGCTGTTGTTAGGATGCACGCCCTGCTGTGATCAGCTCTGTATTTCTGTCAAATGATGTCGCGATGTGTTTACCCTTCATTTGCTGTCAGACAGAGAGGCCCTCTGTTGATGAGTGAAAGTCAAGGGAGCAGAAAGAGTTCGGAAAGAAATTGCAAAACATTTCGACGTTGTTAAAGTCTGATAAGCTCGCCCAGAACTCATGCATTTGTTAGATTTAGTCTACATTTGCTACAGCTGGTGATTATAGTATTTTATTGAAATTACATTAAACTTCACTACCAAATCCGCTAGAATATATTTATTAAAACATAATATGATAGGTAGGATAATTTAGGCTACAATTACCCATTTAGAAATGTTATGTCCATATTTTCTACAGCAGGTGTGAGCTTATTTTTTAAGTCTTAAATTTGTTTTCCTTCATTTACTGCCTCTCCAATATGGAGGACCAATCCTGCCATAATTTTAAATAAATACAGAAATAAATAAATGCTCCAAAAATAAATAAGCATACAATAAATTGCCCCCCCAAAATACAATAAAAAAATAACTGTATTTATTTCTTCCATGTTATTTTTTTCCGCCTGTCGTATATACATTTCTTTATGCATTTCTGCCTCATTATGCAAATGAGGAGGAGTGTGTCATAAGGGCTCAACTTCTGCCCATTGGTTGGTTAGCAGCCACCAGCCACAGTCACAGCAAACATGGTTACCTACCATGAAGTGGTCAGTGAGCTGAGACATTTAGCAACCGCTTTTGAAAACAATGCTCATGTTTGGTTGCTCGGCCGCTGACTGGACTGGACCGGGCATTCGAAACGAGCCATCAGCTCAGGGGTTGGTCCGGGTCTGGAGCCAGCCAGGGCTGGCTACATTTATTTGTTCATTGTATTTTTGGGGGCAATTGTATGCTTATTTATTTTTGGAGCATTTATTTATTTATTTTTAATTACGACAGGATTGGTCCTACATAGCATTAAAAAAATGTAAATCTTTACTATTTATAAGAACTGCACTGACAGCATTCATTTATTATTCTTTAAAGTGTTTTGGCAGGGGAATTACAGTTTAGAACAGAAAAACAATTTTTTTCCTGTTGAACTCTATTTACAAAACATAAACATGAAATTCTTTTATAATATAAAAAAACTGGGTAATACAATTGAAGCCAACATTGTAAAAAAAAAAAAAAAAAACGTTTTTTCCCTGGTGAGTCTGGGGATTTTCAATTATTTTTGCTGAGAATTTACTTTTCTACACGTAAGGCCAAATTCTCTATTTATTGAAGAAAAATATCTATTCAATAAAGAAAATATCTTTTCATCTTTACTGAAGGTCATGAGAAGCTAAAAAATAAAGTTTTTTATGTTTGATTTATGATTATTTCAATTTAATTGTTAACCAAAATGGGAATTTATAACAGCTTGTTTTTATTTCCAATTAAGGGAAAGGATTATAATGGCAGCAGCGTGCTCCTCACTGGACCCAGACCTAATGAGAGAGGTGCTTGAATGCCCCATCTGCCTGGAGACTTATAACCAAGATCAGCTGAGACCCAAACTTCTCCAGTGTGGCCACACTGTGTGTCGACTTTGTCTGGAGAAACTGTTGGCTAATACCATTAATGGTGTCCGCTGCCCCTTCTGCAGCAAGGTGTCCAGGATGAGCAGCATTTCCCAGCTGGCGGATAATCTCACTGTACTCAAGATTATAGACTGCACTTTGACCTGCAGTGCTGCAGCTGCGGCGCTAATGTGCAAGTCCTGCGGCAACCGGCTACCAAGACAGTTCTGCTTTGACTGTACCACGGTTCTCTGTGAGGTCTGTAAAGCTGATGGCCACCTGCATGACGGTCATTCGGTTCAGACGATAAAAGTAGCTGCCGAGCAGCGCCGTAAAGAACTGAGTGGTAGACTCTCTGCCCTCCGTGACGTTATGGGCAATATTCAGAAGAAAAAGAAGGCACTGGAAAACATTTCCAAAAGCTTGAAACAAAAGTACAGGGCGGTACAGCAAGAATATTCTGCGGCAGAACTACATCTTCAGGAAGAGCTCAGCAGATCTCGAAGGACATTTACAACTTCTTTAGGAGAAGTGGAAAAGCTTAATACACAGGTTATTGAAGAGCAGACATATCTACTGAACCTTGCTGAGGTAAAAGTAGTGTCACGATGTGATTACCTGACAGTACGAGTCAGACAAAGTGATATTGCGTTGTTGAGAGATGATGGCGCAGGAAGTGATGATGAAGAGCTGGACCTAAAAAGCAGTTTACCCACACAGTTCCAGCTGCAAGAGCCAACTCTGGCCAGAGCAGAGCACTCTAAACCTATAGAAGTGGGTCGTTTGACCACGAACGCTTACACAGTCAATACAGACGACGAGAAAGGTGGGTTGGAAGCTGTGCTTGAGTTTAATGCGGAGGAAGCACAGTTAGGTGCTACAGGTGGCCCTGTGACAGTTCCAGTAGATCTTTACAGGGATGTTGACATGGTTTCAGCTGGAGAAGAGGCAGTGTGTGGTTCGCCAGGCAGCTTTAAATCAAAGTCCATGGATGCAGGTGGGGGATCTGCTGGGGTTAGTTCTACACCTCCAGTCTGCCAGTTTCTGAAAAAGATGGGCTGTAAAGGAGCACTGCCTGGAATGTTCAATTTGCCTGTTAGTATTTGTGTTTCCCCACATGGTGACATTCTGGTGGCTGACCGAGGAAACTGCCGTGTCCAGATATTCAATCGCAAAGGTGTACCCCGCGAAATCAGACGCAATGCAAGCATTGATAACTTTGTTCTCAGCTTCTTTGGTGCTGACTTGCCTAACCTTATCCCCCTATCCATAGCTGTCACTCCCCAAGGTCTAATTGGTGTTACAGACAACTATGATAATTCAGTTAAAGTCTACACCATGGATGGGCATTATGTGGCCTGCCACAAAAATCAACTTATTAAACCCTGGGGAATTACTGCCATGCCATCAGGCCAGTTTGTGGTATCGGATGTGGAAGGGGGCAAGCTGTGGTGCCTTGCAGTAGACCGCAACGTAGGTGTGGTCAGCTACAATCGACTGTGCTCTGCAGTGCGACCAAAGTTTGTGACGTGTGATGCAGCAGGAACCGTGTACTTTACCCAAGGATTGGCCCTGAACTTTGAAAAACACCAGAATGATCCCCTCCTCGAAGGGGGGTTCTCCATTGGCTCAGTGGGTACTGATGGCCAGCTTGGCAAGCAGCTCAGCCATTTCTTTGCAGAGACAGAGGATTTTCGCTGCATCACAGGCATGTGTGTGGATGCCAATGGTGATTTACTGGTCACTGACAGTGGTAGGAAAGAAATCCTCCAATTTCCCAAAGAAGGGGGATTTAACGTTCTGGTCCAAGACGGGCTGACCTGTCCTGTGGGAGTAGCTACTACCCAGAAAGGACAGCTCCTAGTGCTTGATTGTTGGGACCACTGTGTCAAAGTCTTTACATATATCCAAAGAAGGCATTCTTCAACTTCCTAGAAACTTTTACATCCTGTAACGTTAGGAGTTTATTAGATGTGTTGTTGGTCTGGTCGAAGTGGGAAAGGCACTATTCTTCCCTAGCTGGGTTACAAGGTGGCTTTATTTATAAATTACTATAGCAAGTTTTGCAGGTACATAATGTAAATCAAGCAATTGGTGTGAAATCTATAAAGCACAAGTGCAAATATTCCTTCTTCTGTTATCAGCCTCCATTTCCCCTTAAACGTGAATCTGTGACTTACTTAAATTTGACTGAAAGAGAAGGGGTAGAAAATACCTTAAGATCTACATATTAAATAAAATATACTGTAAGTTCAAGAAAGTTGGCCTGCGATGCACTTTATTATTGACTTGTCTCTCTGCCCCAATATTATGTTTTAGTAGCAAAATTAACAATAAAACATCTGCTGAATGCAGCTGGCAGCTTTAAAAGTTACTTTTCTTTCACTAATGGAAAAAAAGCTTTCAATCAGTAATATTCAGGGATAATAAAATGTTGAATATTTACTACTGTAAACGTTTTTATCACTGTGTAGATATTTAAAAGTTAGAATACCATTCATAAGTTTGTTATCTTTTGTCACTCATTTCAGAAACTGAAACGCATACATCTTACAGATTAATTAATCAGTTATCTGTTTTAAGCCTTTATTACTATTTCTATGTTTTATCTGACAGATATGATAAATGATATTTTAAACAAAAGGTTAAACTTTTGAAACGGATGTTCATTTGCATGTGGTTGGGCCTCTATTGATGGATGTGACCATCTATAGGTGTAGTCCTGAGGCAACAAGCAGTTATCATATCATACCATGGATAAAGACTATTGTTCGGCCTCAAAGCAATTCTTTTCTGGCTCCTCTGGAGTTAGTGCTTTGCTAACACTCTCTTTAATGGGAGCGTGGAGCTACTGTACTGACCTTGAATGAGGATGTTGTTAAACGGTGAAAGGAATACTTTTACGATCTCATTAACCTGGCTGACACGCCTTCTGTGGCATAAGAAAAGACATAATACTTGGGGCGGTTTTTGTACATCACGCGGGCTGGAGTCACAGTGGTGGTAAAAAAAAAATCATGGTGGCAAGGCTTCAGGGGTGAACAGCATCTGCCCTGAGTACCTAAAAGCTCTGGATGTTGTCAGACTGCCAAGGCTGGCATGCCTCCTCAACATCACATGGAAGTCAGAGATAGTGCCCTTATACTGGCAGACTGGGGTGGGGGCATCCCTCCACACCTGTGGAACACTGGACCAGCTCTACACCCTCGTAGGGGTACTCAAGGGTTCTTTTTCTGATGCACCTCCCTCTGAAGGTGTTTCAGGCACGTCGCACTGAGAAGGAGAACGACCGAGGACATTGAGGAGAGGCTGCCGTATGTCTATCTCGCTGGCAAAGAAACGCCCTGGGCTTCAACCTGCAGAGCAGGAGGAGGTGTCTGGGGAGAGACTCCCCCATGTTTAACTTTTTCACAATATTCAAAGTCCTGAAATTATAAATTCTACGGTTTCCTTATCTGTCATATAAGTTTAAGTTTTAAAAAGAGTGACAAAAATATAGTATCTTCAATAAAATTCACATTTTTATAGATGTATGAGAATTGGTGGTTTTCAATGTTGTGCTCAGATTTGTAATTTCATTGTTTAATTTGAATAGCTTTAGGATCAAAATTCAACGTCTCTGATCTGGATGATGTTCTACTGTAGCTCATTCGTCACTGAATGTCTAAATGTCTGACTTCTTGATCTGCATTCGATTCCACAGACATAGAACCAGTTTTACTAAGAATGACAGAGCTGTAAGCTATAAAATCACAGAGGTGCTCTAATGCTTTGAACAGAGTTTTAGTTAGAAACTAATATAGAACATTTTTTCCTGTTAAAATTTTTTTTTTTTTTTTTTAATTGTGAAGTTTCAGGCCTTTTCAAGTCATTTTTATGTTTACCAATCTGCTAGTTAAAAATGGAAAGGAAAAGAAAGCCTTAAATTTAATTCTGTATGTGTATCAAGTATATTGGGGTAATTTGCAAAGGGCATACATCCATTCTAGTTGGAAAACAACGTGTAATCTTCAGTTTAATCACTCAGTCAGTCTCATTGCCATGCTAGAAGGAAAAAAAAGGAAGGCATCTGGGGAGGTTGGTAATTGCGAAAGCTTTCAAAAAATGGATGACTTATGGATGGGCTGGATTAATCTGGGGGTTAATGCCTTTATGAAAAGATTTAGCAAGTGTTTGGAATTTCTAGTGTGCGTTGATAAACTTTTAATAGTTATTTTAATCTTTTAGGAATTAAAAAATGCAAACTGCCTACCATACAGTTTTGTAAGCCATGCAAACTCAAATGAGCCATGATATTAAAAAGGGTGAAAAATGCTGCCACACAACTCACTGAACTTTTTTTTTAGCTTTATATGTCATCTACAGGAAATATATATATTTTTTTCTTGTTATTCCTGAAAAGAGAACACAGTTTTTTTTTGTAGAAAATGTAGTTAAACATTCAGTTCAGCAAAGGGAATCTTAATTTTACTACATGCATTGTGATGGCATATTACAAAGATAACTTTAGCTTAATAAAAATTTCAAGTATAAAGGGGAAAGAAATGTTACAGGAGAGAAATGCGTACAAGATTTGAAGCCCAGAAGAGTTTATTGTTAAATTTAGTTTAGTATTTTTCCATAGAAAATAACATCATAGGTCATTCTTTGTTTTTGCATTCATCACTTAAATTAACATTGAAATAAATTAAAGCTCAAGTTTTTAAGATGGATTTGTTTCAAGAAACCAGAAACGCATCTGTAAAGTTGTCAGAATAATCATGACTTAAAAACATATTTTATTAGCAATATAGGTTATTTAATAAATATGTTGTTCTTTTATCCATTTGCTAGCACTGTTGCATAGTATTTATTGCATAGCCTGTTGGTATATAAAGTAAGTTTTGGTCTCCTCTGTGAGAAAAAGAAAATTTGACAATTTTGCAAAAAATCGAAATTGCAATTATTTTTCACAAAAATTGCGATTTTATTTTGATTTTCCTTTCCTTTGCACAAACCCAAAGTTTGTAGATGTTTCACCTAAAGCTTTCGGTTTTGGAGATCTTGTTTTGCCGAGTCCATTGAAACAAGATGTAACCATTGTGTGAAAAAGTGTTTACTTCTATGCATGGATCTGTACCAATTATATCGCAAATGCAATTAATTGCTCAGCCCTATTACCGTGTGTAATACTCAAAACCTGGTTCCACATTTGTGATATGTCCTGTTATGCTAAAACTGTCATTTAATTGAAAGAATAAGATTCTTAGTTGATAATAGCACTGTGACATGACTAAATATGTTGTTGTTTTAGCTTATTCAGCCATATAAGCAAATGTTTTTCTGGTCAAACTTGAACTGGGTCAAAGTACAGCCTTTGAAATCTATAGTTGAAGCTTTGTGTCCTGTGGATTAATTATGCAAGTTAACAAGATCATAGCAGAAAGGAGGTATAAAACCACCAAAGTAAGGATTATTTCAAATTAAAATACTGAAAAATGAACAAATGTTTTATTATGCATCTTTGGATTACATAATTTTCTTATGTATCATTTTTTGCCCCATTTTCCAGCATAAAAAGTAGACAGTAAAACCATTAAAATATACAGGCTGTTTAACTCAGCTGGACTATCAGCTCCGATCATGTGATGTGTTGCTTTACAGGTATGCATCTCATTTTTAGTAAGTAAGTCATAAAATGCATTACCATAATAAAGGTAATAAGTGCTGCCAATTCAGTGTTTATGACACTCTACTTTTTTAAGGCTTATATAAAATGTAGAACATTCTGTTTTCAAAAAATAAAATAAAATAAAAATTTCCATGGGAATTTCACTAAAAGGATGGGTAATGTTTGAGGCTTTGAAGGTTGAACCATTTAAGAAGTTAACTGTAATTTGGTATCATTCATTGAAAGTTAATCTGAATTTCTAAATATTTAGGAGAATATAATCTGAATTAAATGAACAGATTAATGTAAATGTTCCCAAACTGACTGACTCTGCATTTGTAGCCCTATGTACTGTAAAAGGAAAATCTAAATATGCACAAAAGATAATCTGGCAGTCAACAAATAATTACAGTAAACTGAACCCAAGATAGAATGTTGCAGTTTAAGTAAACGTCAGCTTTGCCACACATTTTCTTTCTCCTTTTGCATATTAAATTATGCTTTTACTTTTATGCAAATCCATCTCAGCACTATATACACTTTGATCTAATAGTCTATGTACTGCATGTCATTCTTAGCATAAAAATTGTTTAGTGATCATCACTGAAGTAGAAACAGCATAATCAAGACTAAAAGTCAAAGACCAGAAAATGCTTAAAAGTCAAGTGTCCTTGTGTTCATGTGGTGAGTTGTTGAGTGTCTCTCATCCTCTAAATATGTTGTTTCATTACATTTGCAGTTTTTTTGTTCATATTACTGATTTATGACTTAGCATTCTGTTTACAGTATACTAAACAATCATGTTGTTCAACGTTTTCAATCCAATTCATGTTTGTATTGATAATCCTGAGTGCAATAAATATGAACCGATAAACTAAAATACCCTGTGGTTTTCATTTTATGTTAGGTTTATGACATTTGTTTTTTTGAGTATGGTTTGTACAATTACAGTTAATGCCCAAAGTATTTGCACATATTATTTCATGTGACAATTTTTTCATATCTCTTAAAAGATTACTGTTATGCAAAAGGATTCTCAGGAGTAGGATCCAAATGCAGACGGGCAGGCGGAGGCAGCGTAGTGAGCTGAAAAATATACGGCATGGCATAGTAGAAAATATTATCACCCATAGAAGATGAAAGCAAACTGATAACTATTAAAAGGATGGCAGCCTAAGAACTTATTTGCAGATGCAGGTGGACTGAGAAAACGATTAATGTGTAGAGAGGAGCGGTATGATCAAGAGTTAGAGTAAAACTAGCTGATTAGCTGACAGGAAAACAAAACATAACTAATTGGAACAGAAATACAACACAAATCCAACAAATGACTCAATAGGTTAAGAGTTTGTCCTGTAACCTGTCGGTTTGAGCCCCCTGCTCCATCTGTCTCAGTCGTTGTGTCCTTGGGCAAGACACTTCACCTGCCTTGCCTGCTGTATGGCAGCCTTGCTTTTATCATTCTGCTCCTGGGCAGCTTAATATAGTGTTAGGCACTTTGGGGGTCCTCGGACTTGATAAAGGACTATATAAGTAAAGGCCATTTTTTATTTTACCATAAGGACAAAAGCAGGCTAATTCAGAGAACCAGGGTTAAGGAAATAAAACAAACAAACTAGAAAGCAAAAAGTAAAGAAATGCATAAATATAAAAACTTAACAAAAACGGGCACAGAGTAGAGAATTACATGGCAAAACCCAAAATGACAAGAACCTTAAATCATGGAAATCATCTGCAAATGGTGTTAAATATTTAAACATTTGGTGCTTTAGAAATTTCATGAAAGTTTTCTTTTCTTTTTTTTTCTCCATGTTTTTCTTTTCCGTGCTTCTCATGATAAAATACTTTTTATGTCCTAGTCATCACACCCTCTCTTTTTTTTAGGACCTGAATACCTTTACAAATATATGTTATCTAGTTTTTGTCTCCATCCAACAATTTTAATTTAGAGGCTTTTCTTCTCATGGTCACGGTAGGGCAAATACTAAGCCATCAATGGAGCGGCAGGTCATACATACCCTGTATAGGTTGCCAGTCTATTACAGGGTCATCTTTTAACATCACTGTTTTCAATATTTCTCCATGAATCCATGATTACACTACATAAATAACTCGAATGAAAAACACCACAAGCAAAACTAGGAGAAAAGAAAAGCCAAGAAATAATGCCTTTCTATTTTTTATATTTCCTTGAAAGATAATATAAGTAACCTTCTATTAGATATTTCTATATCACACACTGACTGATGACATTGATTCAACTCATAAAAACATTTTCTTTTCTGCATATATACTTTCTTCACTCAAAATAAAGAGACACAGTTAAAGCTGAGTGCAGTGTTAACAAAAAAAGTGGTTTCAGTCACAATTTTCTTTTAGATAAGAACCTACATGTAAACATTTCTCATATTTTTGCGCACTAACAAAAAACAATTCCAGCATTAAGCCACCTACAAAGAGAACATTCCTCAGAAAAACCCAAACATGTTTTACACCATTTAAACTCTGCCATGCAAAAATGTCATGTTTTAAGTCCTCAATCTCTCATGCATCCAATTCTTTTGAGCCTGTTAATTCTTTATCAGTTAGTTTCTTGAATATTTTAGAAAATGTTCTAGAATAGGAATCATAATTTAATATGGATAGAGTCTCTGTGATTCAAGCAAGTACTACTTAATTTTAGCAGAAATGATCCATCAAAACCTTACCAGATTTATTAATATGATATGCAGATACTTTCATCTGCGAAGATGAAACTTCATTAAACTAAGCATGCCACTCAGTTGACATGGTTCAGAGTCGATGGTTTAATTTCCTTCAGCTAACAGTTGTTTGACTGTTTGGTGACACTCATAGCATTGTTCAGAATATTGAATGTTAATCCCCAGATGGTCAGGTGACTATTGGGGAGAAATGTCATGGCAAAAATAACTATTTTGAGGGAGGAGCAAACTCCACATTTAACATTCTAAATCTCAGCATACAAACTGCACAAGGCTTGTGCAAGACATGTGCCTAATTTCCTTACATTTAGACTGACATAACTTTATTATTTAGATATGGCAACAAATGCAACATAAGAGATAGTGTAGCTCCAAATATAAGCCCTCTAAATTTAGGCCGGCATGTATTTGGTCTTTAAATCTGTCAGCTTACTCACCTTTCTGGTACTGCAACCAGAGCTGCTGCTGGGCCTTCTTGCTGGGAAAGTAGATGTTGCAGCTAAGTTCAGAGCCATACAGGGCCTCAGACACATAATGGCTGCCATACAGCTGGAGGAAAGCAAGAAGCTCCTCACGTGTGCTGTCGCCCGACAGCGTCTTGAGCACCTTAGAAAATTCTATCAAAGATGGAACAAATTATATTGATTTCCAGATTGCTATGATTGCTGGTAAAACGTAAAGAAATCACATTTCCTTTAGGTGTAGATTGATTTCCACTTCTGTCACATGATAAACAATGAATCAAAATTATATTTTTTCAGTTACTGACCTGTGGATAAGGTTATAGAGCTGAGTTTGACTTTGTACAGATTGCTGCGCACCCTCCACTGTTGAACCATAGGATAGCCTACCGCTTCACTGAACTGGGCATCCCCTGATGAAGAAATGGGAAGGAGACAAATGAAGATAGAAGGACATTCACACAAACACAAGAGTTTTAAACAAATTACTGGGCCAGACTCATGAGGAGAGGCAAAACTTTATGATTAATAAAAAATATAGAATCTTTTGTTTTATTTTCATTATTACAGGATTATTGCGTGGCCATTACAACCCTATATTGCCTTAACATCATTTATCATCAGAGCCCACAACCCAGCTGCTCCTGGATCAATGGTGATATATGGTACAGCTTGAACTCCAATTGGATTGCTGACATTAGAATCGAGCAATCTTGGCTTTCAGCGCAATTCAATTACCTAACTTTCACACCGCTTAGAAGTAAAGCTGCAAAAGTGAAGAGCAAGGGAAAATAAACAAAGAAACTGCTCACAGGAATCTTGACCTTTTGCCTCTTTGAAGCGATTTACACCTGAGACATTTGTGCACAGGGAAGAAAAGGGCAATTTACTTTGTGTACATGTGTGTGTCCAATTGTGGCAAAAGCAAATCAAAAGTAAAAGATCTTCGAGATCAGTAAGGGCTAAATGGCAATTTAGCTAATGGAGGTATTGGGGAGCAGAGGTGGAGGTCTGAGACAAATGACTGACTGACTCTGGCCAAAATAAGAAATGGGTGGAACAGTATTAGCCAGAACAAAGAAAAAAATCCTGGGTTGGATGTTAAAGATTTTTGCAAATGTTCACTATCACTGGTAAATGTTAAAACTCAGAGCAAGAAGCAAAGGCAGTAGAATGTCACAAAAATAAAGGACATTTAGCCGAAATTCAATTGAATTCACTTAAATTCAACTCAATCGAAAAAAAAAAAAAAAATCCCGAGGGAAATTAAATTATACTTTTCTTAAAAGCATTAAACAACTATTTTGGGCTGTGTTGGAATCCTAAAAAGCATAAATAAGATAGTTGTTCAATAACATATCTCCTGGGCTTTCCTCTGCAGTTTATGTCTTCACAATGAAAATGTTTGTATACCGAAGCTATGGATAACACCTCTGTAAATTGCTTGCTCTTTTTATTTTTACTTGACCCCCATTGTTGCTGTTAGGTACTTCTTGGTTAGATATGTCAAATGTTAGAATGTTTTGGGGTTTATTTTTGCTCTGATTTTAGGACAGTTGCAAAATAAATACTCAAAAAAATGTTTTAGCTTTAAAAATAGTTCCTCCTATCTTTGTTTTAGTTTCTGTTTACAAAGCAAAGGGTTTGTATGTTTTTTTAAATTTATGTTTAAATTGCATATTTTAAGAAAAAGAGCTGACCTTACAATTTCTATATATGGCGTGATGCTACTACTCTTCAGTATAACAAGTACAACATTCTTAAAACCTCTTTTACCTGATAGAAGTTGTAGATTGGGCAATGGTTCAGACAAAATTCCCCGACACTGTTCCTCGACTGGCAGGGGGATCACCATTAGACCATCGGCTAGTTGTGGAAAGTCCTTTATGTAGTTGTTGTCCCTAAAATTAAACAGAGAAATACTTTTACTTCTAAGAGAATCCTAAGGTCATGTTTGTTGGACTTGTTGTCCAGCATCAATTGGGGAATTGCATTGCTGCTTATTGCCAGATTAAAAAAGGAAAAAAAGGCTTACTTCTGTAACTTTCGCAGTAAATATAGTAAAATGTACACACTATTTAAACAAGATTTTGAGAGACTTGGCTTTTGAGCAAGAAGCTCTAAGGATAGAATATGGACTTTATTTCTATCATGGGTTTTTCAGGGATACTCCTAGGAACCATAATAATAATGAGCAGAATGTAATTCATATTAAACAGATTCTCACTGCCTGCTGAAAGCAAGGCCACAAAAAAACCCAGACTCATTTTCTAAACTCAATTCTTATAAGACCAGGTTCCATAAGGGGTGTAAGGGTTTAGTTCATGTGTAAAAAACAAACAAAAAAGAAAAAAACTCTGGGGATGGGATAGCTTTTCTACTCCTAATGTTAACTTCACTACCCCCCACCCCGTCCCCACTCTGCGTGCTCTTACAACAAAGTCTTCAAGAAGCAATCAAAGCCAGATGGTTAAAACTGAGGGTTACAAGGCCAAAGAATAAGAGGAAAGAGCGAAAGGAGAGGTGTTGTAAAAAGATTACCGAGGCTTATGCTCACAGAAAACATATTGATTACCAAACTGAATCAGCTGGCTTCAGGCTGTGGCTCAAATAAAAACTTTAAAGGTGTGTGGATTCAGATGATTTGTAGCTGTATGGATTTTCCACCCTACTTGTAGCCTGTCCTTGAAATGAGTTTCAATTTTTGAGCCACTTTGCTGCCCTCATCCAAAAATAAGGTTACCCAACACAGAGTTTAATATGTTTCCCAACACTTGGCTATATTACACCAAACTAAAGACTAAATTGATTTTGATAATGGAGTACACGTAACTAAATCTAGTGGACTTTGTAAACAATACAGTGCAGTCACCGGAATAATACAGACAATTCAGTTTCAATAAATGTTAGGTTGCCACTGCATTATTTATTATGCTACTGAATGGTATATGTAGGAAGATTTAAATTCTGCCTCGTGATGTCTCACAACAATATTTATGATTCAAAAAACACAAATGGTTTACACTACTTTATTTCAATAGAAAAAGAAAACAGCTTAAAACAATTCAAAATGTGTAGCTATAGTGTATGTTGGAAGAAAAGATAAGATTTTCAAAGGGACAAATTGAACATTATCAACACATATTTTCTTTTTTACATATATACTTTGAGCCATTAACACTAACATTGACTGAGTTATTGTATAAAAGCCCACCCACCCTTTTCCCTCTAAACTTTTATAGTCATGTTTTTATATGTAATTTGCTCTGGATGTTTGTGTACTTCAGGCACCTCAAAAATTCTTCTTAAGTAACGTAAAGTATTTGTCCTTTTTTTTTTCAATTGTGCCTGCTGGAATATTAAGATTGTTAGAATATTAAGACTGTGTCATAAGTATTTTTTGCTAAAGCACTTTTGCTGGCTACTGAATTGTATATCAATAGTAGCCCCATTAGAAATTGGCTCAATAAAAGAAAACCATGTAACTTTGATGCCTCATTAAAACGAAGATAATGCTGATAAATATGAAGCTGTATTTTAATAACTCTTTTCTATCTTCCAAATAATTATATTTTCTCCACTACTCTTTAAGCTTAAACATCACAGCGACATTAGTATGTGGGCAGTAAAATTCTGTGCATATGGCCAAATATAATATTGCACTGCATTATTTGCACACGTCACTTGAAATTTAAAGGCCTTCTAACTATTCAATTTAATCAGTCTTCCCTGATTGTAATATCACAGAAATCAACTTACATATTTAGGATGTTGTTCGGTTACTTATAGAGAAAAAATATGTGTTCAATATTCATTCTACTTGGTTTAGCTTAAAAAAAATTCATTTTTCCTTTCTAAAAGGGAGGCATTAACTGAGTTGGCTTGGAAGAAGTCCAAACTAAGAGGGCTGGTTTCAATAATTTTAACCTGATATATTTTTTATGTTTTCTTTTTTTATCTTCATTTTATCAAATTTTCTTGCCACTTTTTTTTTAATTTCTTAATTTGTTAAGGTTTAGATGTTCTATTTCAGTCTATCCTTTTGTCAAGACTTCAACACATAAATAGATTGACAAATAATAATAATAATAATAAATCCAATTTGTACCGCACTTTTCATTAAGAAAAATCTCAAAGTGCTAGATCTGTATATATATATATATATATATATATATATATATATATATATATATATATATATATTTCTTTTTTTTTGTATTTTTTATTTGCATTTGAGAGGAAGGGTCATTGAATCAGTGGAAAAACAACATCTCTAGTGTGTGATTTGTTACACTTTGACTATTTTCAATCTGTTTTGTAATCATATGCATCCACCATTACATTTGGTAGGTGTTTTTACAAAATTCAGTGTTTCACAAACAGTTAAAAAACAAAATGTTGCTACAGCTAACAACAGCTAAAGTCTTACATCCACTTTTTTTTTTTTTTTTTTTTTTATCACAGTTGGACATAACACTGCAATATTTCTACCTACAGAGCGACTGTGACAATTGGTTGTTTTGTACTCAGCCTCAAACCCCGCAGTGAACTTTTCTGGGATTTACTCTGTTGTCTACAGTCCTTGTATCCTTTCAGGTGCTCTTTTCTCCAATTGGTGCAAAGTGGAAAAAAAAAATATGTCAATAGAAAAAGCTTTTTTGAGCCTGTCTTGAACCCACGTAATGAGCGGGTATAGCTTTTTTCTGCCTGTGTTCGTTTCATCATGAGCCTGTGTATCTCAGTTCAACAGATGTGACACAGTTATCTGCAAGCAACTTTTGCATGGTTAGATTACAGTTAACATTATAGTTGCAGATCCTTATAGCTGGAAAACATGCCTCAACAAATGGAGGAAATATACAATCAGATGCTCTCAGATGCTTTTCTTCTCACATTTATGAGTTACCTTTGTACCTTAATGTTTGAAAAATACAAAGAATTAAACAAAGTTCTTTTTTGTTTATTTAGCATTATATGCATTAGTTTATATTGTTTGCACAAAATGAATAGTATATAAACTGAGATGATAAGAAAGAAAGAAAGAAAATTATGATAGAACACAAAAAATCATTATGGTAGAAAGAAGAATTCCAATCTATAAGAAAACTGATTTATAGAATAGAATGAAAATGAGTTTTCATATACTAGAATGGCTTTTACACCACTCAGATTTAATAATTAAAACTCCACTGCAGCAGAAATGATTGGGTAGTTATAAACCAAAGTCATGTAGTCTGAACTCTGGGATGTGATAATCAATAAAATACTTGACTTTACAACAGAGAAGGGGACAAACACAACCATAAATGTAACCACCAGAGGCTGCTCTGTCTCCATGTAAAATAAACACCAGAAGGAGCTCTTGTGAGAGTTTAACATGGCTGCATTTACATGTGGACCTGAAGAGACTGGAGAAAAACAACAGTGGAATGCTTGCTTGAGTTGCAATTATGTACAAGTCAAAACAAAATGGCAAATGTTCTAGATAAATTGGACTATTGTTATAGAGATTGTGTTCATTGTTGTTGGGTTCTCGGGAGAAAAATGCAGGATCATGTAGGGCAGGCCAATTTGCTAAGCCACAGAAAATGCAGTTTTTAGAATGTCTCACACAGGTTGATGAGAGATCCAACAGATGAAATTTCTCTACTTACATACCAGAAAAAAACAAAAAACATGTAAAAAGCTGAATGGGGCAGAAAAGTCTAGACATCATAAAGTAATGGTCAACTTACCACAGACAGGGAAAGAAAGTGAAGCAAACACTGAGGATAGGACTGTTAACAGTTTCTCACACTGAACAATCACAGGGTATCAAACCCCTGGTAGCATTGTCAGATTAGAACTAACAGCAGGGCTTTGAACTTTACGTGAACAGCCACTGGGTGCCAGTACAGTGCACAAAGGAGGTGGGCTTTTGAGGCTGGAGATAAAAATTGCTGCAGCATACTGGGTAAGCTGAAAAGGTGTCAGAGTGGATAAAAGAAGACTGGGAAGGAGGAAAGAAATACAGCTTTATGATGCATAGAGGAAGAAATAGCTGTTTCATTTGACAAAGGTACTGCCAATCTTTAAGTGTCAAGTGTTTTTTATTTACAGTCAGAATTTTGCAATATTCCACCTTCTTGATATTTCAGAAAACCAGCTACAGTACAACATTTAAAATAATAATTATATATATATATACATATATATATATATATTTGTCCTCCAGTTTACAAACATTTCTTCATAAAACAGGTTTTCTTGTCTGTGATAACGTTTGACACAAGAGTAAAATGTGCCCATACCTATTACTGTATGCAATATCTACAGAGATCAATAGTTTACTCAGACTGTACAAAGAGACATACATTTTTCCTTGACAAAATCAGAATCAACTCTAAATTTGAAGTATGAATAAGAATTTGACTTCCATTAACATCATGTTTAACAGTTCAACGAATAAGAAAAATCATTCTAACTCTGTGTAAGGACAGGATGCAACATAGAAGTACATAAAATGTCCTTGTTGTGTGATAGAATGCACAAGAATTTGACTTGTGTGTATGTGCAATCATGTAAATGTAGCATTGGCAACATTGCAGCTTGCCATCACGTATTTACCATTGTATCCAGGTCTCTTATACATTTGGTAGAGGCCAAGCAAACACTTACCAACTGCCTTCAGGTGAGTCCCTGATAATTGGAAATCCCACTTTAGGTTGAATATAGATGGGAATAGTGATAGCAAGGTGGGCTAATATTACATACAATACAGCAGGGGGACTAAAATTGAGCTTTGTTGAGTGCACTCTTGTGGGCATTTATAGTCTCCCCAATGATCCCACAGGTAAAAATGACAAACCACTTTGACACACTAGATTTGCAGGTAAGATATAATTGAGACTCAGCAACACAA